CTCTTCCCTTTAGAAGACTACTCTCTTGCTATTCCTGCCATGCAATCTGGTGCCATCTGTGATACACAGATGTTCCATTCTGTCCTTCACGTATTCTCCCATTTTCCTATGTCTCAGCATCTCAAATGACTTATATTTTATCAGTCCATTGTGTATCTTAATATAGCCTTTTAAACTGTTTCCAATATATTTTTTGTGGTATCTGCTGCTGTTTCATCAGGATAAGTGGAAATGGACCTGATGCCTCTTTCATATAGCCTTACTTTCAGTGCTCTGTGTGCTTATATAGTTCACTAGAGCCAGGATAGGCCAGTCTGTGTAGCGATGGCTGGCATTCGATTCCTGGCACTAATAGCATAGCATCCAGACCAGCTCTGGGGCCCATCTGGCCTCCTTTCTAATGGGTACAAAGGCCAATTTCCCCACGTGTAAAGCAGTTCAGGCTTGAAACTGACCCCTCACTTCCATATAGTGTCTAGGTCATGAATGGTGGACCTATATCTCCATTCCCTTGTATGTCTTAATGTCACAGTGCTTAATTAATTGAGCACAGGGACAAATTTATCTTTATAGTTCACTACATAATTTGAGAAATCAGGTTGTGACAATATAATCCTTGAACCTGAGGTGAAGGAAAGTCACTTTCATGTTAGCTTAATTTAGGATTTAGTTCTTTAAAGTTTTTTGTGTCTGTTCATGTTCTATGACAAGCAGAAAATCATGTAGACAGATTGTAGTTGCGCCACAGTCATCCAGGACATCCCAGGGTGCCACCATGTCACTTCTTTTTTTAAAGAGACTAATATGAAATATGAAGTTCTTATAGATTGTTTAATTTCCAGCATCTGAAGTGGAAGCATCAGCTTGCTTAAGTATCCTTGTGAATTTCATGAGTTGGTTTTCACGCCATTCTGCATTTAAATATATAAAACTACTTTCATATAATGAAAACAGCTTCTTATTGTGATCTAAACCCACTTCTTTCAACTTGGAACTGTGTAATGGACTGTCCTAATACTTTCATTCTTAAGACTACATGCCTTTTTGTAGTCTAACGTGGACCAGTCAGTCAGTGGACATTGATTTTAAATGAACTTGAAGGTGTTGTTTATACTTATATATAATGTGTTACGCTACATATTTTATTATAGGTTGATGCAAGTTTAAACCGTGCTAAGAAGAAAGAAAGTCTCAATAAAACTGCCCTCAAAGTTCAACTGATGAGGCTGAAGGGGAAAGCATCAGGTTTCAAAGGGATACCGACCTCAGACAGAGTATATTTTTTAATTTATCCTCCATTAACAGTTCCTCAGAAGAGTAAGGCTGTTTTCATGGCAAGGCAGTGGCCCATAGGAAGGGTAATAGATTCAGCTGCAGATATTTGTGATATTCCGAACAGGAACAATCAGACAGCTGCGAGAAAGCTGCGGCTCTTCCACCAGCACGATGGGCAGATATTGTGTACAGAAATGGAAAGAAAACTGGAACAGCTGTTAAACGAAGGGACGGTGATGGATGGAGAGACATTAATTTTGGAATATGTAACAGAAACGGATCCCGATTCTTTTTGTCTCAAATGTTTGGACCGATACAAAGATTAATTTCTTATGTGAAATACTGGAACTTAATATCAGATATGAAGATTCATGTATTTTCAGCTAACTTTATATTTACATAATGAAAATAAAGCTTTCTTGTCTATCCACATGTTAATGTTGATTTTATTAAAGTAATCAGTTTGCCTAACTTATTTACATCAGAATAACAGCAACACCTCTTGATTTTTAAAATCAAAAGACCTACATTTGGTGAATGTATGTGCTGTTTCAGGTACAGAAATGATCAGCAACTGGTACACACATACCAACATCAACAAACATAGAATACTGATGTACTGGTGGGTAATGGTAACATTTCCATTTTGCTAGTTAAATTAAATGTATAATAATTATTCCATTAATACTTTGAATATACAGTCCATGCCCTATCACACAGTTTACATTACTGCCATTAACATATCCTTAGCTGTATGTTTCGGTGTAACTAAGATTATGTATAATGCCTTAAAAATAACTCCGTGGCCTGTAGTCTGCAAGCGGACTATACTGACCGAGTGACTGCCGCTTGGCAAAGATAGTGCCAACTTTAGTGGATAGAGGGTGTACGTGGTCAGCACAATGGATCCCCACGACCGTTAATCTCGGTTTTCTAGTCCAAAGCGGCTATTTCTTTCGAATAGCTCCTCAATTATCCTCATGAGGCTGAGTGGACCCCGTTCCAGACCCACTACTTCTCAGAAAATGTGGTAGCACCGGGAATCGAACCCAGACCTCTGAATCTGTAGCCAGGAACTCTGACCACTAGATCACAGAGGTGGTCGTATAATGCCTTACAAGAATTAAAATCTCATACATAAGGTAAGGCTAATTTAATATCATCTTTTAAACATTCAGTGTTGAAAAGAACAAGGTTTGTGTGCTCTGCTTGTAGTAGTCACATTTTTATGAAGTGAATCTCATAAAAGGAACAATGGGTAACAAACTGTAATGTGACTCGGCTTGCAAGTCTAGCAGCTAAACCTTATCTGTTACATATGTATCATATACAGTTCACAGCTGAAAATATTCTGTAACATTTATTAAATCATATGTAGGCTTCTTTGTATGCTGATGCAAAACACATATAATCTTATCATAAACTTAAACATCAGTGCACTGAAACCCTGCAAGTGATCTTGTAGGTATCTTCCCTCACACGTGACAGAGCAAAAATAAATCAATTAATANGCTCTGCTTGTAGTAGTCACATTTTTATGAAGTGAATCTCATAAAAGGAACAATGGGTAACAAACTGTAATGTGACTCGGCTTGCAAGTCTAGCAGCTAAACCTTATCTGTTACATATGTATCATATACAGTTCACAGCTGAAAATATTCTGTAACATTTATTAAATCATATGTAGGCTTCTTTGTATGCTGATGCAAAACACATATAATCTTATCATAAACTTAAACATCAGTGCACTGAAACCCTGCAAGTGATCTTGTAGGTATCTTCCCTCACACGTGACAGAGCAAAAATAAATCAATTAATAATGCCTGTATGGGCAATATCAACTCTTAATCATGGATATTAAAATTATCCGCAGAAATGAGGACTATATGTGGAGGCAGAAAGTTCTGCCACACTACTAAAAACACATTTTGAAACTGGGATACTTTTAGAAAATAATACATATATGTTACATACAGTACATTACCTTATACTTCTAACCGTCCATGCTAATGAAGGGGCAAAGGCAAATAAATAAAAAAATCAGATAATCTAAGATATTGTTGAATACAGATATTTTGACATATCCATAGGGTCTGAGTTAACTATCTTCAAAACTGTATGACTTACAGGACAAGTGTACTGACCACAAAATATGTTTCATTTTTCACTACAAATTTTGTTCTAAATATTATTCACACCAATAAATATTTAGCAAGCTATGCTCCATATATGGGCTGTGGCATAAGTAGGTTTTCATGTAAACGGTCATTAAAATTGTTTGATCTGATTCAAAATTGAAATGTCTTTGACAATTTGTCATAAAATTGTCCAGTATAAAATTTCATGAAAGTCTATTCAAATCACATTGGGGTCACCAATGTGGGATGTTATTGTATGTGGAGACAACCGCTTATTAAACTGCTATAATAATATTTATTGTAGTTATACAGAATATACAGATGAACTTATGTTTGAAGAATTTAAGGCTTCTGGTTGTTGTTAAGCAGAGTGAAGAATAATAACGCTTCTCTCTAATTCAAAGTCAAAGTTATGTTATGATTGATGGTCAGTCGGCCAATCTGTCTTGGAATAAAGCATCGATCTGGGGCTTAAGACCATATCTTTATTACTGTATGACACTTGCAGGGTTATGTGGGGCATTCTCTCTGAAGTCACAGTCAGCAGTAAACTTCTCTCTATCGCTATATCTTCCACATATGTACAAGTAACCTCGAGTCAGACCTATAGAAAACATGTCCGTTGCCTAACGACAGACACCCATTGTTGTCACATATTGCTTAGCAGTGAATGGTTCCTAGCCTGTGATTGGCTAGTACTTGACTCAAATGTGGGTGGTTCCCACAGTTCTAAAGTTGGTTCATGTATACAGACGATGGACAGGGTGAATTTAGAAAGTGCTCTGCTGGGTTGTGAACACATCTAAAATGAATAAATAGACAAGCCACAAATCATATATTCAGGAATATAGTGTACTCGTTATTTTATCATGTGCAACAGAAACTTGGAAGTAGATTAAGAGAAACATAATCAGATCACTGGCACTCTTAAGTTGGACTGTGATGTAAGTCCAAAATACCATTTCTGAGATCATGGAAGCACATAAAACTTCACGTTTTGACACTATTCTAAGATGTGCAGTAATCTAAAGCTGTACCAAAAGAGGAAACAGTGTACTTTATGTCTCACTGAACATTATGATATATGTTCACATATGATGCAGGAAGTGTCCTGCATTGTTCTGAATACATGCCTCAATCCTATTGACCATGTTTTGAGAGATATGAGTAAGAGTTACTGCCTTGATGCTACAAGGGTACAGTTTTAAATGGATCATCCTGTATAAACAAACAAAAAACATACACATACACACAAGTTCCTTAAATACATTCACTCTGCATTCCTACAAATCACATGCTACACAAGCATTCATGTTACACAAGAATTTCACAGCAACAATTTTAACTGAAGTCATATATAAATATACACTGCATCACTGCTGAATAAGCCACCTGCCCTTTTGCAAGCCAGTTGTTCCCATCATCAGGTCTGATAAGAAAATTACCTTCATTTACCTTCCTTCAATCCCAAAATTAGGCTAAGTAACATTAGTTCTAACCTGTTCTTATATTAACCTAGGAATCTTATAAATTACAGATAGCAGTCATAACTGAAAAGTAGGCTATGAACGTGGGGGGGCAAGCTGCCGGAACAAAACACGTGGGACAGGCATACAACACCTTGTGAGGTGAAATAGAATGCACCAAAATAACGTGTGTTTAATAGAAATTTTAATGGATTTTATCTTGTTTTACCTTGAAAAGAGATCTACGGCGTGTGATTTTAACACTGACTAACACAGTGTAGCAGTTTTAACGTAATTTAATAAAATATTTATAACATATCGAGTCACCTGAAGATAACCGTTTGGGGCCAAAACGTGTTGTGTCAAAGTGTAAAATGTTAAACTAAAATTAAGATTAAGTGGTGAATAAGCAAGCGTTGCAATACTGATGGACAATAAATACAAGGATGTTAAGTTAAACAACTGCAACAGGATGCTGAAATACAGAACTATTCTTGGAGGTTGAACATCATCATCTATCTCCCACCCCAGACATAGGTTAAGCGATATTAATTCAAGTCTACTCTTGGAGGGTGATCCATTCATTTATCCACTGTCAGTGAATTTGGTTAAGTGACATTACTCTTGGTCTGTTCTCTAACTGCTGCCACTGGTATGACCATATTCTTGTTTCTCCCTTATCTACAAATAATATCCACTTAAGAAGTTGGACTAGGCATATTCTAATCTTGCACTGGGAGGTGTTAAGTTTGTAATCTGTACAGACTAGCTACCCTGATTGAGGTTTTTTTTTTTTTTTTTTCTGTATTCAGTACACATGCTGAGAGAGCACTTTCAGAATGACCACGGCCACCCCAGAAACTCTTATCTAACTAACATTCATGATCAAATCCAGATCCATGGCTGAAAACAGTGTTATTGAATAACCTAAGATTCGATGATAACTGTGGTAGTAGTAGAAACTTCCAAAATGTTGATTTTTATTCAACAGTGATGTAATGCACATCTTGAAAAGACTTGGGATTACTGAACTTTAGGACCTCATCGATCACCTGATATCCTAAAGAACACAACATTTTGGAAACGGGATCTGTTCCCATCCTCAGGGCAGGAGGCAACGACTCTGTAGGGTCTGTTAGAAAGTGCAAACCTTAATGTTACCCCCTTATCTGAGGGCTGAAACAGACCCAGTTTCCCAAAACAGTGTGCGCCTCAGAATATTAGACAATGAACAAATTCCAAAAAACAAAGTAACACTGAGTGTTACGTACCACTGTCAGAACCTCTGAGAACAGAATCCTGAGAAGAATTCAGTAAAGCAGATACATATGTAATTTTTCTACAATTGCATGAAAGATTATTATAACCCTTTCACTACCAAATTTTCAAGGAACTATTAAGTCCTCACAACCACTGGTTCTCTCTTCTCTTTTCAGGTACTACATGGGTACATCCAACCAGATTCAATTTTACATGAACAGGTAGGCTGTATCTTCAATTTGTATGAAACATGATGTTCCCACAGCAGAGAATATTAAGATTTCAGTCTTTTAGGTTGTGACACCCATGTAATCTGACAGACAGGTAGCAGTGTTTTTAAGGAACCTACCCTGAGGATGGAGGCAAGGTTTCTTCAAAACACTTGTACCCAAAGGAAACAACGTGAATACAACAGAAGTAAATTAAAGACTTGGCCACGCCGTACCTCAAGCATTTAGTCGCTGGCTTCCCACTGCGGCGGCCCCCACCGCAGCGGCCCAGGTTCGATCCCGGGTCTGGTCAAGTGGGATTTGTGGTGGACAAAGTGGCGTTGGGGCAGGTTTTCTCCGAGTACTTCGGTTTCCCCTGCCAATCTTCATTCCACCAAATTCTCCATCATAATCACCCAGGGCAGGTACAATAGGCCAATCAGTGGCCAACGTGCCGAGTGGACCCAGGTGGACTCCACCCCATACCATGCGAATTAAAAAAAAATTAAAAGACTTGATTCTCTAACTCCATGGAGTTGAGTCCTTCCTCAGAAACTGCCGGTCACTCAGCTACTTAAGAATTTCCCAACATTTTATGGAACCTGAAGGTATGTTACTGTGCTGACTGGTCCCTATCCTGAGCCAGAAGAACAAATACCCAACAAATACATTCAGATTAGCAGTGAAAGGGTTACAATTTTAGGAAGAAACAATATATTACACTATACATACTGCATGTGACTACAGTTCCGTCGGAATTCATTTGAACAGTAGCCTGTGGTGCTGACTGGCGTGTATTTGAAGCCATTCTCATTACTTCTCTGCTGTTTATGCACAGGCTTATTATGAAGTACTGCTTCAGTGATAATTGTAGTATCATGTTGGGAATGTGGTGGGGGGCAGTTTCTTTTGCAGCGTTGTTTCCACTGGCAGCACACCCAAACCATCATTGGTACTAATATGAGAGCAGCAGGGATGAGGAACAGCAGTGGAAGAGATGACGACGGCACACTCTCTGAGGTTCCATGTTGTATGAAGAAACAAACAGAGGAAAGGTGTACTGTGATGGGATACACATATTTACTGTATCCACTTTTCATCATTTTGCATGCATTATTAACCTCAGTATTCATTTATAGTTTGGGACATTCAACTGCCCTTAACTGCATATTCAATATATTCACAGCTACTCTTCATATCTGGAGGCTATCTCCTCCATCCATAACCTGAGGATACACCATGCCATTGTGACAAGGTGCCAACTTAACACGCAGGTTTAATATTCAAGGACAGAAATTACATGCCAGATACAAAATATATTCAGCATAAGTGGGTATAATTTCTTACCTTCTGTTGTATGTGTTAGGACTGTCAAGTATGCACCTCTGTAATCAAATCCTTTGCCATTGACTGCCAGACATGTGTAGTACCCGCTGTCACGTTTGGAGCTCCGAGGTAGGATTAACTTACTTAGGTAAACTTCGCCTGGCAAATGCCGTTCTCCACTTGAATTCATGAGCTGAAAACACAGTACAAGTCAAACTGCCTGAGAGAATGCAACACTACAATGGTCATTACACCTTTCCTAATAACACTGTCCCCGCTAAGCAGTGGGTTCATGAACGACAAGGTGCACAATCATGTCATCGTGCAGTTATTCGTCTTCTGTTTTAGTCCTTACTTTTCCTCTACTTTTAATGCCGTGGAACAATTGGTTGAGGCACTATGCTACAAGCCAGAAGGTGGCGGGTTGGGTTTCTGATGAGGTCATTGGATTTTTCAATTGACCTAGTCTTTCTAGCTGCACTATTCTCTGGGGTTGACACAGCCTCATAACAGAAATGAGTACCAGGAAACTTCCTGGGGGTAAAGGATGGGCCGCATATAAGGCTGACAACCTCACCACCATCTCTGAGCCGACTGTATAGAAAATGTGGAAGCCTTGATGATGTCTCACAACTTTATGGGTGTCCATGGCCTGCTACAGGGACAGCTTTAAGTGACCATGAATGTCACAATTTTTTCTAGGGGGCCAGACAGTTTCCCAAGGAGCAGCAGCTAGAAAATAATCTTATAAACTTAGGTTTAAACCATTCAAGACTACTTTTACTGAGCAACCCAGATTATTCTGACAATTTTTTGGGGGGTATTTTTTAATCTTTTTTTTTTCCCCCNCCCCCAATTTTAATTTTCTCCAAAATGGAGGGGGGGGGGCAGATATCTTCCCCCATTTCTGAATATAAAAGGTGCATCTGATGGGAACTGCACTGAGCATGGAGGGGGAAATGACGTGACTAAGTAAAAATTGTGGGGCTAATTGGGAAATTTCCTGTGCAGCTCACTGGGCATGTGGGGAAGAATCTACCATTGTCATTGATGGGGCACTGATGCTCATCATGACAACAAAATACAACTGTGGATATCTGAAAAAATGCAGATAATGAAAGTGCATTTAATAAGTCACCTAAAGTGTGGACACTTCCTCTTTAGCAAGTGAACCAAGTGCTACTCACCTCATATGTGTCATTTAGCAAAGGTATTAGGACATCATTAGAAGTTCTGCCATCTGTCCGTCGAAGCCAATACAAATTTGGACGAACTTTACTGTGAACACGACACTGGAAAACAGCAGGTTTCCCTTTCTGAACAGTCACATTGCTTGGCTGTTCTTCCAGGATTTCTGGAGCACCAAGCATTTCTGAAAAGGTCATTCCATACTAAGATTAATAAAGTGCTCAAGAAATCCAGTTTGGATTTGTTAACTATTTAACAAAATCCACTGATCCATATTCCCATAGTCTGCTTTATACAAATATTATTACTGGATATGTTTAATGACTGTACTTTAAATTTTAAAATTTCTATAAAAAAATAATCCATCCAGGTTTATTTTTATATACTAATTATAAAATTTAAAAACTGCATAATGAGCAGTTTCATAACCTGTATTCTTCTCCAAGTATGATTAGAATGAGCAAGTCAAGGAGGATAAGGTGGGAAGGGCATGTAGCATGAATTGGGGAGGAGAGGAATGCATATAGGCTATTGGTGGGAAAGTCAGAAGGAAAGAGATCACTGGGAAGACTAAGGCATGGGTGGATGGACAATATTAAAATGGATCTTAGAGAGATAGCATGGGATGGGATGGATTGGATTGATCTGGCTCAGGATAGGGACGGGTGGAGGGCTCTTATGAATGTGGTAATGAACCTTCAGGTTCCGTAAAATGCTGGGAAATTCTTGAGTAGCTGCAGAATTGGTGGCTGATCAAGAAGGGCTCAGCTCCATTATTGAGTGAGTAAGTAAGTAAGTATATAAAAATAATGATTTCCTTAATAACGCTTTATACCTCAAATGTGGCAATGAATAAATTTTCTATGAAACAGACCACATCCAAAAATTTACTGTTAATTTATCCACCTTTACAGCTTGCTGGTGTGCATTAGTTGTTTACTGACATGTGTGGGTGTATCTGGTGAAAACATGCACTGGTTTTTATCAAGTTCTTACAGAAATGCTGTATATACTAGTGTCAGTACACTTCCCAGTATCCATGTGTAGGTTCTGTACTTATGAATTATGCTTCCATCTCCCCCTACCCATCCTTTCGTGTTTCTACCATCTGTTCATATTATACGACTCATTACTGAAGTATGCAATGAATTATATGTGGACACAAGCGTACACTGTCCTACCAATCATGATACTACACTACAGCACTTCTACTCCACTAAAATTATAATCAGTGACTATAAAACACAGATTTTTCTTGAGCAGTGATACTTGCTTGACTATCCACGAAATTGTACGCTTTTATGGAGCCCAGTAGTTCCTCACCATGTTCATAAAAGTTCATCAATGCATCCCTTCCTAGCTGGTTTGATTAATTTCACATCTTCACACCTGATTTCTCCAAGATAAATTTTAATATTTTCCACATCCCTGGAAATTTACCATAAAATTTGACACAATAACTTTGTGTGCATTTACTGTTTCCTGAACATATGTTACATGCCACATTCATCACATTATATTTGATCAAAAATATTCTAATAATAAGATATTTAGAGTATAAATTGAGGGGCTCCTCATCATGTAATGAATTCTATTTCTTTGACACTTCATTGTTCTTAACTTTAAGTTCACTTACCTACAATTTCCAGTTCATAAGTCTGAGTGACTCTGAAATTCTTTGATGTCTTGTTTCGATGAGACATGGAACAGCGATACAGCCCATTGTCTCCCTCTGTGGTTATGTTCAGAACTAAAGTGGCTTGACATGGGTTATTGTCATTTCCACATATGGCTGTCCACGAATCATTACTTGATAAGGACTGACATGGTGTGGAATTGTACCCAGACCCACATCTCTGAAATGATTGGACAAACTTCAATTTGAAAGCCACAATACTTGCATTTACTAAATAAAACAAATCAACGTTTATTCTATAATGGATGTACTGGAAGAACATTAAAAATCTCTGCATTTTGTACTGTACAGTGTATTTAGGTGTTCCTTTTGTTTTTCAAAATAAAAAGTGATTCTTTCCCTAAACAATGTTCTCCTCAGGTGGTTACTTCATGATGTCAGTAACTAGACTATACACCACTAAATGGTGAGATGATTGATGAATGATAAATTGGAAAGGATTTTGAATGAAGTGGGGCACACGATAACATAGTTGGCTGAGGCACTATGCTACAAGTCGGAAGGTCATGGGTTTGAGAACTGATGAGGTGGAATTTTTCAATTGATCTAATCCTTACAGCCGCAGAATGGCCCTGGGGTCGACTCAGCCTCTAACAGAAATGAGTACCAGGTATCTTCCTGGGGGTAAAGGGCGGCCGGCACATAAGGCTGAAAACCTTACAGCCATCTGTGTGCTGATTGTCTAGAAGATGTGGGAGCCTCAACATCTCACAACCCTATGGGCCTTCATGGCTTGTTACGGGGACACCTTTACTTTTTTTTAAAGAAGCTGTTATGTCATTGAGGTATTCACAAAAAAAACTCAGTCGGGATAGCCAGTATCCCAGACAAGATTCAAACTGAGTACCTTCTGAATATGAGTCCAAAATATTATCGCTATGCCAACCCTCTATGTCCTAACTAACAATGACTGACTGGTATTTGTAACTGAGACAGAGTGTCTTCTGTGAGGTAGAATTACCATCTTCTGGGACATGACCTCATGTAGTATGGTAGATGTTTACTGACGTACTTAGGACCTGAACATACACATCCTTGATACAAGTCAAAAGTGCTAGTGCTAGCCTGAGTTTGCAAAGCAGGTAGGCACATTGGTGACAGATTGGGGCTTCTGCCCTCCACCAAGTCGTTTAAAAATATTATTATTTAAAAATGAAGGAGATCTACCAATAATTAATATAACAAATGAAAACTATTCTTCTACCCCATAGAGACCAGCAACTCTACGGCGGTATGTCTACAATGTTCTTAAACAGCTACAGCGTAAGTCAATTATGAAAATATTCTGGCCGCCCCTTCCCCAGAAAAATCCCGCGTGCGTACATAAGTAGGAATTGACATTTTGAATATTATTTCAATGATTTCCATGCTTCCAAGGGTTAAACCTGAATGTTGGTGTGAGCAGCTGGACTTCAGTATGACACAATTTACCTTGTAATGCCACACAACATCATGGGATTTGCAATGCTCTTGATATGAAAACCCTTGCCTTCCCTTACTGCAACACCGAAGACGTACTTCGCTTCCAACAGGCTCCACGAGTCTGACTGGTGAAGGCACAGTGACCACAGGGCGATCTAGGAACTCTCAAATAAAAGCAAACAAGTTCATATGTTAAGTCAAGTCTCTAAGCAAACGTCAGAGATATATTATGCTTATCACAACTGATCAGTTCACATGCGCAATCTTACATGTAACTTCCTAAGTTTTTGTGTAATTGATGGATTAGACCCTCTGGCATGTTCCCATCTGAAAACTACGAAAAGACAGTCTATAGGATTCCTTGGACTGGGGATCAGCCCATCGCAAGGCCGCTATCCACGAAGAACAACACGAACATAGAAACAATAGAGATATACATCCATGTCTAGAGTGGGATACGAACCGTGGATACCAGTGTTTAAGCGGGCGAACACATTTGTAACTTAGACCGCATGGCAACTGTGATCGGCCTTTCTTAAATCCATAAAGTTGAATTTGGCTGAATTTAAGAACCCTTTGACTTTAATAACTTCTTACTGATGTTCAGTCAATCACAGAACTAGTTTTTTTATTGCTAGTGGAGTGGGACTAAGCCCTTTGTACTGCTGCCACTTCTGGCCTATTGTACCAGCCCCAGATGATAGGTGAGGGTGATTGTGGAGCAATTGGTGGAATGAAGATTGGCAGGGGAAACTGAAGTACTCGGAGAAAACCTGCCTCAAAGCCACTTTGTCCACCACAAATCCCACTTGACCAGACCCGGGATCGAACCCGGGCCGCCGCGGTGGGAAGCCAGCGACTAACTGTTTGAGCTATGACGCGGCCTATTCACAGAACTAACGAGTCTAGCGAGTTCACTCTCAAGTTACTACTTATCTCCAAAATCGTAAGAAGCGTATGGAATATACAACGTGTGCTTCTTTCTTTCTTTCTTTCTTTCTTTCTTTCTTTTTTTTTTCACCATTAAAAACACATGTCGCTCAGATATATATTCAGCTAGTTACGCTCAAATTGAAAGCAGAAACGCATATATATCTTCATGTGAAGTATCCATTACACTTATCTAATTTTAAGCCAAATTGGAAAGTGATGACGAATTTTAGTAAACCTTCCGAACATAAAATTTCACTTAAATCTGTTCAGCTGTTCTCGAATTGTTATTTGCAGAAGGACAGATATACGTGACGAACAGGAATCATATTCAAAATCATTAAAACAACTATCCAGAATTTTAGTGTTTTAATTAATCCGCTACATGTTTCGATCCTACTATTGGGTCATCTTCAGGTAGTACAATATTTAACTATAAACTGTGGATTAAATAAGACACGTAAAATCGGAAGCATAGTTGCTTGAGGCACTGTGCTACAAACCGGAAGGTCGCGGGTTCAAGTCCCGATGAGGTCATTGGATCTTTTTTAAATTGACCTAATCTTTCCAGCTGCAATATGACCCCGGGGTCGACTCAGCCTCTAACATAAATGAGTACCTGGAATATTCTTGGGGATTAAAGCGCGGCCGACGCGTAGGACTGACAACCTTACCGCCATCTATGAGCCGACTGTCTAGAAAATGTGGGAACCTCAACATCTCATAACCCTATGGGCCTCCACGGCCTCTTACGGGGATACCTTTACTTTTTTTTAAAGAGCAGATAGTTGTGTTGAGTAGTTTCAATGGGATGTCTACTTGTAAAAACACAGCAGGATGAAGAAACCAAAGTGACACGCCGAATAAAGTGATTTTTTTGCAATTTGTTGTTACAAATGGATCAAGAATGATATAGGCCCAATTATGAACAAGACAATACAACCTAGTTCACGTGGATTAATTCGTGTAAAGAGTTCACCTACAGTATGAAGCCGGGTACCTTCCACCTTGTGTACCCAACCTTACACAAAGTCTGATTTCCCACTCGTGCATGAATACTGAATACTTTGGAAACATAATTCAGTGACTTCATAACTTTGAGGCGCAATCTTTATCATGAGTATGACACGCTGCACCAAATATGGATCCATATTAGCAGTTCAATTACCCTTGACGTATTCACGTACCACTGCCTGATGATGGTCCCATGAGGACCGAAACATGTAGCAGGAAATAAATTTCAGTCTGTAAAATACTGATAGTTGATTAGAGCCGGGGTAGCGCAGCCGGTATAGCGACTGCCTTCGGACTGGACGACCAAGGGGTCGGAGTTCAAGTTTCGGTAGGGTCAGAATTTTCTCTTCTACATATCGTCCAGACCGGCTCTGGGGCCCACCCAGCCTCCTATACAATGGGTACCGGGGGTTCTTTCCCCGGAGGTAAAGCGGCAGAGGGTCACGGTAGCCGAGCAGTCTAAGGCATGCACTGTCTTCGCTCGCTTGGAAGCCGGGATCGTGGGTTCGAATCCCACTCAGGGCATGAATGTTTGTGTGCGTTTTTCTGTGTTTGTCTACAGGTAGAGGCCTTGTGACGAGCTGATCACTCGCCCAAGGAGTCCTACCGTATGTGTAAGATCTAGAAAAACCGAAGTGAACGGAGTTCATGGAGGTAGGCCTAGGCCCACTGGGGCTGTAGTGTCAAAGATAAAAGNGCTCTCAGCTGAGAGGTACAGCGAGGTACAGTGCTTGGACCTGCCAGAAGACCACACTTTTCTTGGGCCATTATCTCCGTAACCGTTCAACTTTGGACATAGGTGTTTTGGGTTATATCGGCATACTTTAACATAAGGAACACCCTCCCGAAGTTTGGCACATTCCTCCTGGGACACCCTGTATATGTTTGACACACAACAGAACGCAAATTGCGAAGAATGTTCTGAAGGTTTAGTTCACCATCAAAACCTGGGGACGATACCTGGGATTCCCACACAGATGATTATGACGATTAGTGTCTTCTGGGTTGTGACGCCGTGTAGATTGTTATCAACACTCTTGATGAACCTGTTGCCTCCATCTTCAAGTCTGTTGATTTCCCCCCACCCCAACGCGTCACTGAATTAAATATTTGTTTTGAGAGACTTCTGTTTCGTTTCCAGATACCGACTATGTAATGAGCACGGTTATGTACATATAACTCCAGTTATCTTACATCACACACAAATAATCACTTGATAAACTGAAAGTGCAACTTGACGTCGATAATACGCCTTCTGTTGCAGATAACAGAGGATACTGTTGCTTCCAACTTCTTGGCAGAGACGGGTGATTAAATCTACGCAGTGACAACACAGCATTCAGCTACTATTCATTTTCTCGTGCCCTGCTTCAAAGTGTGTAAATTCAATGTTCGGGGTTTATTTTGTTATTGTAGAAAGAATTAGTGTAAATATAAACAAGTCCTAGGCAATGGCCATCCGGCCGTCTGTAGCACATTCTTATAAACATCTTGTTCTATCATAGCGGTAACCCCGCGATTCTTAATGTAGATCTTAACTTAAATATGAGAGTACACTATTCATAATCAGTAAAATTACTTCTTTTACTTTTCTTACATATCTATATTATATAAATGTAGGAATG